GCATTAAGCACTAGGGATACATGTTCTGAGTTCTGAGTTAAGCATTAGGGATATTTGATAGAGTTGGACATCTAATGTGGAGGGAAGCACCAGGGAAAGGTGGATGAGTGTCAGCAGATGAAGTGAAGGTGTTTGGGGAGCAACTGACGCTGCCTTGATTTTAATAGAATCAGCATCCGCTCCAAAGTCCCGTCTTTGCACCTCTCAAGGCTCAGCATGAACAGGACTTGCTGAGGGAAGCCTTCTTCCCACTCTATGCATTTCCTTCATCGCACCTGTCACAACTGCAATCAAATGCCATCTTGTGAATCTCTCTTTGGTAATAGTTACCTGTCTTGCTTATGTAAATGGAAGTTGCATGAGGACAGTAACTATGGATCTGGTTCATCCTGGCACGTTAGGTGCTGGTTGCTGAGTCGTCTCCCAGTCAAGTTCTCAGGTGACTATTAGTTATGTTAGTTACGTCGTTTTTTTCCTATCATGATCGGTACTTCCATAGTCTTGATTTACCCAATTCTCCAATGGGACTACATACTCCACATACATAGCTACTGCCAGTTTTCAAACGCCAACTAAACTTAGACACATCTGCTTTATTTGTATCCTTGCCAACCATTAGCATTTTATGGGGCTACCTTTTATTATAATCTGTCCTAGATGTAAGATTTCCCTTCAGAAACAAGCACAGGGGCAGGACCATTTCTCAATTAAAAAACAAAACAAAATAAAAACCTCTTTATGGGCGGAGTAGCTCAAGTGGTAGAGCACCTGCCCGGCAAGCAAGAGGCTGAGTTCAAATTCCATACCACAAAAAAAAAAAAAAAAAAGAAAAGAAAAAAATTAAACCAAAAACCTCTTTATGTTCTGGCTTTATGTTCACAGTGGATTCACTTGTGTCAAACCTAACAAAAATAAGTAAAAGCAGAAAGTTATGATGGGGATTCTGACATGATTGACTGACAATCACAAAAGGCCCCACCAAGAACCCCAGCTTGCTACAGAGACCACTGTAACCCTATTCCAAAAGTACTTCTATACGGGATGTGCCAGCAATTACCTGTTCAACCCAGACTGCCACCACTCGTTAGTTATTGTGGCAGGGATTATTGTTTCAAACATTTTCCCCTTGCCTCAACCTCTTTGAATAAGCCCACAGCTTATACCTTGTATTCCTACCGTAATGCTATTAGTCCCAAATAAATATCATTACCATTCTTCTTTGGAGAATCTGATTGCTATTTTGTCTTTTGAGATGGACACTAGACTGGAGCCCAGCATCCTCTGGCCCTTCACAAATGCTCAAAACTATACCATATTGTGATTGCAAATGCGTTTACTCTGCAGACAAAATTGCTGTATTTTTTAATAAGCAGTTTCCCCCAGCAAATTCAGTAAAGGGGAATAAAAGCCCTTTTGCACACATTCTGGGCCTGTTCACTTTGGAAGTCCTTTTAAACACTTTTGAATATGCCATTTTCCTACATGAAGGAAGCTTCATCCACTTAAGAAAAATATGAACAGCAGCCACCACCAAAACCACCAAGAATAGTGGGCTCCCCTCCCCCCACTTTCTCATGCAATGAGAACTATGATGAATGAGCCTCCCACTCTGGGGACAAATGGCTTCCTTGTTGCTTGGCCTCCCTAAAACCTTCAGCATTTAACTTTGTTTCCAGTTCTCACAGGAGCCAGTTGATAAAGCCCAGGCATTTGAACCTCATGGGACTGTGGTAGTGGCTTCAGATGCTGGCCTAGGGAGTGCTAGTGGTCTCCCAGGTGCCAATCTCAGATACCACATCTGTTCCTTTATGGACTGCTGGCACCTTTATCCCTTATCGTGCCCCAAGTGCCAATGTTCTGTAATTAAATCATGTGGCAAGTATGTTCCCTTTGTCTGTGCTCTGAAACCACCTAAGGTACAACATGGGTTACTGTGCACCAGAACTCCCCAGTGTAGACCCCAAAATGTGAGTCTGGGTTCCAGCAATTTTTGCATTAATTCTGAAAATCAATGTGTATTTAAAATTTGTAAGTTATGTTTCACGAACACTGAGAGCTTAGAAGCAATGGGTGATTAATTCTCACACAGTAAATGCAAGGTTTTCAATCACTAAATGAATTCATCAAAAGGTTTACTGATACATACTAATATTCTCAGAGAAATTTAGTAAGTGGAATAGCTTGAATTTGGATCAAAAATGTCAGAAAAAAGACATACATGTGGAAAACACATAAATTCAGTGAATTCTAATAGGTGGTTTATTGGAAACACCCATAGCGTTTTTCAAAAGAACTTGACAGGTTTTATTTTAATAAGACATAGTGAAGAGGAAATGGCTTAAAAGATATCATCAATCTTTTATTTAACTAAGCACTGCCCTTCATTTTGAAGGAAATGATACAATTTCAAATTGGAACTTCCTTCTCAAGAAGTGGTAGAAAGAACATAACATTGATTTAACATACAACCTTCAACAAAAATAAAGTTTATACAATTCACTGGGAAATAAGATGCATGTGAGTTTATCCTGTTAATCAATATAATTCTCCATGGGCCACAAGTTTTAGCTAAGAATAAAACAACATAATGAAAAATTGAATAAACCAGTCAAGTATATAATTATCCTGATTTTTAAAAATTCACAAATAAAATCTAACTTTGCAAACATCTATTTAATGACCATGATCACACTAGATTTTATTCTAATTTGTAAAAAATAGCTAGACAAACACATCATATCAAGAGTCTTCAACACAGTGGATCCCATTTTGTTAAGGAAAAAAAAATATAGAGAACAATTAGTCCTTAGATTTTCTTAGCTGTCCATAGCATATGTCATATAAAATTAAAGTTTTGCTTCCAAAAAATATGTTTCCATGTGGTTGTGGTACTGTCCAATGGTGCTGCTAGGGCTAGAAGCACCAAAGATAGGAGAAGTTTAACCACTGAGCCATTTTTCAAAAAACTAAAAATTTTCTTCAAGGTCTGGAATAAAGTCTTCTGCTAGGCATTTTAGTGCTACAAAGCCATTTTAAATTAAATGTAGAATAAAATCTACAAAATGTATGAGTTCTTTCAATACAAAAAAGTTGTATAGCTGAAGTTGTAGGCTCCTTTGACATACATAAGCAGTCTCAATAAAATATTTGCTCAGGTAAGAAAATAGAATCTGTCTGGTTTCATTTAGCATACGTTCCAGTTGATGTTCTGCTTATCCCTGCCAAAGCTTCTGAAGAACACGGGAATTGATATTTCTTTCCTTCAAAGAGCATCCGTAATTCACAGTACAAAATAGCTCTAAAGTCTTATTCCTAAGGAGAAACAAAAATTATTAAATATATTCATTGTTTTCTAAAGTGCCAGATGTAGTCATTGCCAGGGCATTAAAAAAAACAACAAAAAAAAACCAAACAGCTCTTCATAACACTACCATTTTAAGGAAAGAAGCAAGAGTTGATTTGACCCCCATCCTTGGAGCCCTTACCAACTGGTTGTTGCTTTAAGTATTCTACCCAGAAGATGATTTCCAGGGGAATCCTGTTTGTAAGTATTGCATGTCTGGTATCTCTAGTACCCCGTACAAATGCTAGCACTGCATTCCAAAAAAGCATCACCTGGAACAGATCTACTTCCTATTCTTGCTCATTTTCAAGCCCTGTTATCAAAAATCTCCTTTTGAGGGGTAGACTACAATAGCTGGGATGGAGTTTTTAGTTCTTCCTTCCAGGTGGGACCTCCAAGGGCATTTCACTTATAACAATATAAAGTCACTGCCATTATCAGTGTGACCAGACTTCGGTTAAGAGGCAGAGGAAGGACAGAGGTGGGGGGACAGGGAAAAAGAGCTTGCTAGTCCAGAACTTTTGGAGAATGCTACACTGTTTCCCCTCACTGTCTGCACAATGGGCATCAATTTCAACTTCCACCAATCCAAATCTTATCAGCTATGGTACTTTCTCTTAAATGTCTCCACCCAGGGTTATCTTGCTCTGCTTTTCCATGAGGAAGTGAATATAAACACATGGGAACTGGATCTACAGTCACAGCAGGAGGCCGATTCTCTTCCAAAGTCCTAGCTACAGCTAGAGCAGTCCACTTGAACAGTCACAGGGACTGTTTACTCTTCTGTTTGGTGATTACTGTGAAAACAGGGAATATAGCTAATGCCTCTGTAATGAAAAGGTTTCATGGTGAGTTGCTATGAAGAGCTAGTCTTTAAGAAATTATGGCCTCCACTTCCAAAAACTAATCCTTCAAGTCATGACTTAAGTCACAAAATGATTTGTTCAGTGTACTTTATGACTCCCAAGGTGGGGGGGGGGGCGACAAAAAGAGCCTCAAACTTTAGAGACAGCATTGGTGACGGGCAGTAGAAAGTAGAACACTCTAAGGGCACACACATAGGAGTACCTACCCAGGAAAGGTTGTAACTGGTTTTGGTTTTTTGGGCTTTTTTAGCAGTACTGAGATTAGAACTCAGGGCCTACACTTTGAGCCACTCCACCAGCCCTTTTCTTGTGATGGGTTTTTTCAAGATAGGATCTCCCAGAATTATTTGCCCTGGGCTGGCTTCCAACCACCATTCTCCTGATCGCTGCCTCCTGAGTAGCTAGGATTACAGGAGTGAGCCACTGCAAACAGTTCTAACATTTTGTAAAGGCTCATACTAGAGCACACAGCAGTTCACAAGCAGACCTATATAGTACCTGCTCAATCTGCTACACACAGTCGCCAACCTGTGTTTCTGGACCGTCATCAGATTCTGTACTTAATGTACCTTGATGGCATCTGTGATTGATGTCACCCCTCTTAATTGAAAGGGCTCTGAAGGGGTGTTTTCCAAGCAACAAGGAGACCGCTACAGTATAACAAGACTTTGCACCTTGAATTAAACTGCACCAAGTGTAGCTGGCAAAATAAGTATCTTAGCACTGAGACATGTCTCAGCCCTAAGATTTTACCACTGGCAGGATGAAGTGAAGATAAGGGAGGTGGGCCAGGGAGAGGAGGAGGAAACAAACAAAAAAAAATCATAGGATCACAACAAAAGCTTTGTTTTAGAAAGGGTTACCTTCACCACTGAAGGAGAGTGGACGGAAGAGATTGACTGAATCTTGCCAAGGCAACTCTGTTTGGCTATTTCCCTAGTAGATACTTTATGGGGTGTCACAAACCAGCCAACCTCATCTGTGACTTGCAGATGAACAGAGCCAAGCAGGTTTAATTAGATCAGACACACAAAGGGCTATTCCCTCCTTTGATAACAAATACCAAGGTTTTTGAGTACCTCCACCAGCAGGCGAAAAACAAAGGCAGCAGAACAGCACCTTAATTGCATCCTTCCCCTGGCTGGCCCTTGACAATGATTTACTGGTAACCTGGGAAGGGGGCAGGGGTGGAGCAAGAGACTCAGCTAAGAGCCAGCTCCAGAAGAATTACTTGGGGATTGAGGGGAGAGGAAGGAAAGTGGTAAAGTCTTCATAGCTGGAGTTTGCTCAACTATTTGTTACACTTAATAGAGGGCTGCTTGGTCTTGGTCTGCTGCTTCCAGACCTTGTGGTTTCTCCAGCCCTGCGCCGCTGGAATCTCATAAAATAAATCACCCCAGCCAGCCGGATCTCAAGCACAGCTCAGCGGGGAGAAGAAGATAAGCAGCTCTCTGTGCTAGCCCGCGGTGGCCTCCCTCTGGCCTTTGTACAGGGCATCCTCATGGGATCAGAGTAGGGAGGGAGGTGGAGAGGAAAAAATGGCAGATACGGTGCTCTGAACTTTTCTCCAACCCTGTGTGCTATGAAGGGTCGATTTTAGACCCAAACGCAGCAGGGATTAAGCGCCAAGTAAATTCACAGTTTGCCCCACCACGGAAAGGAAGACAGACTGCCAGGACCATCAGGAAATGCTCTCCCAAGAAGCTCCTACCTGCTCCCTCTGTCCCCTTCCTCCTCCCCTGTCCACAGCCGGCTTCGCATTTCACCAACTCTCCATTTTCCAAAGGGCCCCGGAATCCCAGATGGGGCCCAGAAGGTGAAGGAGAGAGGGAGGGAAAGGAGGAAGGGGGCAGTGGCTGCAGCAAACAGCTCCCTTTTGTAGCTCAGTGCCCAACTTGTCCGTCAGTGTGCCACCGCCTCTCCTTCCTCCTCCTCCGAGCCGAGCACAGGGGGGCGCCGGGGAGGCGGCGTAGTCCGGGCAGCTTCGCTGTCGCCCTCCTCCGGCTCTGTGGGGTGCAGGTGCGTGGCGAGCTCCTGCAGCACTGCCGCGCGTCCGATCTGGTCGTTGCGCCGTTTCTCCATGATCAGGTCCTCCAGGCTCTGGAACTCGAGCGTGTGGCTGCGTTGGGCCGAGAGCTGAATCTGCAAGCGGTAGGGCTGCTTGCCGATGCGCAGCTCGCCGCCAATCTTGAACTCGCGCTTGCCATAGCGGCACCAGGCGGCAAAGCTCTCTGAGTTGCGCCAGCTGAGCTCGCGCTCCTTGGCGCCCACGTGCGCCAGCGCGTTGCGCACCACGGCGCTGGGGCTCAGTGGCTTGTACCGGTAGAGATCATTGACCACACGGCCGCGACGGCCTTGGCTCGCATCCGTCAGGAAACTATTGCTCACCTCCAGCCGGTGCAAATGCACCACCTGAAAGTTACCCACGTACACTGCCCAGTGAGGGTACTGCGCCTGGGACACGAACTCCACTAGATCGCCTGGATTGCACTTGTTGAGCAGGTTTTCCGGTGTGTAGGTGCTCAGCGCCGACGAACCCGGCGCAAAGCTCTTCTGGTAGATGCACTCGTCGCGGTAGAACACGGAGCACTCTATCTCATGCTGCCTTGGATCGTAGGGTTGCGGTGGGGGCAGCGGCGGCCTGTCCCCGGAATCGGGCAACCCGCCGCCATCGGGCCCCTGGGGCGGTGGCTGCGGCTCCATGTCCTCATCGTCATTGGAGAAAATGTAAGATACCCCGATGCGGGGCCCGTCGTCCCGGTCCACGCCAGTCGGGTCGGCCGTGGGAACTTCCTTGTAACTTAGGTGGGTCAGTTTCTCCACCTGGTTGCCCATCGCGCTGTGGACACACGTTCACAACACCGCGAGGGGAGAAAGCGAAACCACTACTAAGGTCATTGGCACAGGTCCCCGGACAAGGGCTAAAGCCACCTGTTGGAAAAGAAGGCAAGGCAGCTATGTTTGTAGGACCCTCTCCAGTAAAACACGTTTCGTTCTTAGGAGAAAGAACCGGTGGGGTTCGAGCACCTGGAGCCATTTTTGGGGGAGTCTCGGTAGCGAGCTTTCCCTCGTTTCTCCACCTCCAGGGTCAAGATCACAGGCGATGTGGCAACTCCTGCTCTTCCCCGCCCTCATCCTTCACCTGACCTGGGCAAAAGCCCTTTGCATCAGCTGCACCTACTGCTTCCGCCGGCGCCCTACCTGCCAAACCTGGACAGGAAGGGGAGAAGGAAATGGAAACTTTATCCAGTCCTGCCCTTTCCCAACTTCTTCCTCCTACACCACATCCTGACTAGCCTCTGAGACGTTCCTTCATGCCACCGTCCCCTGGGAACAAGCGAGGACCCTGTAGCGGGGCCAGGGCAGGTGAGCCACCCTACCTGGCTTACCCCCACGGCTCGCTGGCCCCTCCCCCCGCGCGCCTGCCCTGGGGTTCGGATTACCTGCGCCAACTCACCCGCCGAGAGGGGGAGGCTCTGGGGGATGGGGAGTCCCTGGCCGCACCCCGAGACTTCTAGGACGAGTTTGCAGGTGTGGGTTTCGCAGTCCCTCCTCTTTCAGCGCGGGTGGCAGCGAAACTGGACTGGGGGGAGCGACGCATGTCTCCCCCCCTTCCCACGGCTCCGTAGCGCCCCAAGACTTGAAGGTGGGGGCGATTCGTCTTCACACCCGGCCCCTCCCTCCTGCAGGCGCTGAGGTCCCTTCCAACCAGCTCTGGAGGCAGATGGGCGCGAGGAAGAGGAGACGGAGGCAGCCTCGCTTCCCTGTGGCTGCAGCTCCGCTCGGGCCGGGTGAGCAACAAGCGCCGGAGCGGGAGGGACGGGATTGTAGATCCGGCTCCGAGCTCTCGGGCGGGAGCGCAGCCCGTGGCATTTAAAGAGACAGGCGCTCTCTCCCGGAGCTCAGGTCTTCTCCCGCACCGCGCCGTGCCTCCGGGAGCCCCGCCCCCGCCCACCCGGGCCACGGAGCTCCGCCCTGGCCACGCCCCCTCCCAGCCGGTTTAAATCCTGCTGGTAAATAAATAACCCGCGGGCTGTGCCCGCCCCTCCGAGCCCACCAGCCTGGGCGTTTTTTTTGTGAGCAGTGGCTCTCAGAAGTTGGGAGTCAGACGCCACCTGCCAGAATCGAAATGCGGGAGGGAAGAAGTTTGGTGTTTGTTTCTTTTTGCCTTGCGTTTTCTCTTTCTCAGAGTACTTGGAGAGGGAGGAATAGCCATGAGAACTTTGGCTCTTCCTTTTCTTTCCTAAAACGTTCTTCCTTTTTTGTTATTTGGTGGCACTGGGGTTTGAACTCAGGGCTTAGCGCTTGCAAAGCGGGTGCTGTTCTCCCCTTGAGGCACACCTTTGCTCTGGTTATTTTGAAAATGGGGGCGAGGGTCTCGCAAACTATTTGCCTGGACTGGCTTTGAACCGCCATCCTCTCAAGCCTTCCAAGTAACTGGGATTATAGGTGTGAGCCACCGGGCTCTGGGGTAGAACTTTCTTGACCTATAAAGGTAATAGGAAAGGATTCTTTACCCAGATAGGTCTGGAAGAGCCTCATCTAGAAGTGTTTTCAGAATGAGTAGTGTGAAACTTTGGAGTAGAAAAAAGAATTCTCAGAAAGGAAAAGGTACGAAATGGAATGAAGATAGATAATGATTGGCTTCCAAGACCACTGCTATATTTATTAGATGTCCCACAAAGTTAGTACAAAGTTAAATTCACAACCTCTGTTGTTTCCAGGGTGTTTGTTCGATGGTGAGAGAAAGTATGCAGATATGGGGTGAGGGGTTGTAGGAATTGCTTAATTGCCCTTAAATTAGAAACAAATTAGCAGAGGCCCCTGGTGAATATATTTCCTTCCTGCTGACTTAGAGAGGGAAGTGACAGGTCTATTGCTTATTAACCTCCTCCACAAGAGGACACTGTCCCCCCTGCTGGTTTCATTTCATGTACCTAAGACATAGTTACCAAAGTGTTTTTTTCTTCTTTTTCTTTTCTTTAAATGATGGTGATGCAGGATTGTCAGCTCCATTTACAATGGAAAAGCTTAGGAAGCACCCAAACTAATTTTTGATTAAGATTGCAACTGAAGATCTATACCTTGTTTTTTATCACTGTTTCTTTTGACTAAAATTTTCCAGGTAACACTATTATTTATTCAGTGTGTATACCAACCAGTGGAAACAGGAATAGACTAACACTACTGTGATCCTTCTTACTTTGAGGGGGAAAAAAAAATCAATCTACTTATGTACCTTTAAGCCTGAACAATCAATATTGTCAGGTCTGTGATGGAAGTTGGTCCTTCACCATGTCTAAGATCACAGTATGAGCTAGACCAAAATGAGATTTCTGTGGATCATGCAGATTTAATTTAAATATTTTCAGAGTAGCCTCAGGCACATGTGACTGGGTGAGTTGCCCCTGGACCTACTGTTAAATGTGAGCACAGGTAGGTACTACTTTATAGAGAAGAGTTATACTTAGAGACAGTAGCCAGTCTTCCCTGTTTGTTAGAGTGGGAAACCTATGCTATTGTCAGATGTGGCACTGGAGGAGTATACTGGACCTACTTGTCTAGCTGTCTCTCCTGTTGTTTTTCTGAAATCTGTACAGGTGCACAGTAGTGGTCCATTTATTCAGCCAACCAACTATAAAGATTCACATGCAGATCCGACATCATCTCTACATCTGAATACCTGACATTAGTAGCAGTTCACGAAATAAATGTTTCATTGAAGGTTGAGGGGAAACCTTGCCCATAAATCAACAATTTCTTCCTAAGGGCTGGGAATATAGCTCAGTGGCAGAGTGCTTGCCTAGTCTGTGAAAGGCCCTGGGTTCAGTCCCCACCATTGCACCACACACACACAAGAAAGGAATGACTTCTTGGTTTTATGAGGTCTGAGGGAGTAAATAGATGGTGTTGATTCTTTTATTGATGACTATCTAGGGCTTTCCCTTCCATCTGGTTACCTAGAGCACTTGGAAAGGTTACAAAATGGCTCCCAAATGATCTTTGCTCAGGTCAAATAATGGTAATTTAAAAACCAGATTTCTAGCTTCACTTGTAAAATTTCAGGACAGAAGCCCATCTTCCAGAATGGTGATGAAGAGCTGATGCTGAGTGGTTGCCTTGCAAAGACATGGTCTACAGTTGGCTCCAGTCACTGTCCCACTCACCTGACCTTCCTAGCTTTCTTGTCTGACCTTAGCTTCCTTGTCTTCCTAGCTTTCTTGTGTGCCAGCCACCTTTGCCATCTGATATATTTATATACTACATATTTTATCACTCAATTATGTAAAATTCCTCAAGTGATCATATACTATTTAGTATTGTTTTCTAACTCACATGTTCTAGAGAGAATTTGATTCCAAATATATTTCTTGACGATATACCAGGTACTTGCTAGTCTGATTCATCCATTCATTCTACAAGTTCAACTGACACTGGGCTGTCAACGAACATTGTGTGTTGATATTCATGCCCCATCAAATTCAGTGTAGTCTGGGAGGCAGAGAAATAGACTCCAAAAAACTGGCATGGCCTTCAAGAAGAGGAATAGAGGATGCTGAGATGGTGAGGTGAAACTCAAGGCCTGTGGATGCAAAGATAAAGAACCAAGTATCTGCCATCAGGGTCTTGTATGAATGGGGGAAATGCAAATCTAAAATTAATTACCATTGAGTGAGCTCTTGATTATTTTATAAAGGAGAATAAAGTTTAGAGAGACTATGACTTCTCCCAGCTAGTAAACAGGAAAATCATACTGGTTTGCTTTATTTCCAGGCCCAAGCTTTTGTAACCACTTGGTTTTAAGTAGACAAACAGATTCTACAATATTTAACAAACATATGACCATCTGGTTTTACTAGGGATACAGCCTGGTAATGTCCCTGTTATGGCATTCACATGGTGATGGCATGTGAGAAATAAGTAAGGGAATAAAGAGTATCCAAGAGAGGGAGTAGGGCCTTGAAGAGAACAAATTAGGGTACTGGGATTGAATAACTGTTACTAAGAGAGTGGCAGCAGGTGGCCTACTTTGGATGAGATGGTTAGGGAAGACTCGTAAGGAGGTGGGGCCTGAGTCAAGACTTGAAGAATGAGCACAGCCAGCCTTGGCATTCTCTCCAATAGGAAGACCTAGAGCAAAGGCCAGAGCAAAGACCAAGAGCAAAGGACTTGGGGGTTTGAGGATCAGGAAAAACCGTGACTGTGACTAGAGCACACAGTGAGAGAGGAGGTGCTGGGTGATGATGGGAGATAGAGGTGGGCGTGCCTGGGGATCTGGTTGCCCATAGGAAATGGGCACAGGAAACAGAAAGGAAGCAGCTACCACCTAGGGCCCACCTGTGAGGATGAAAGACAGGTAGAGCCTGGCAAGCCAAGGATGCATCTCGTGAAGGCACCTCCCAGGTGGCAACAGTTCCATAAAGAAACGTTTCTTGAATTTAGTTCTCTGCTATACTGAAGCTTCATCTCCCAGCAGTGACCCTAGTGTCACATCCCACCCATCTCCTTGGGGGAGGCACTCAATAAAAACAAGTAACTTTCAGTGTTTCTGTCCAGGTAAGCAAGAATGAAAAGAGAATTGATGTTTCTACCTGACAAAGCCTTAGCCCTGACACTGCAGGTGCGGTGGAGACCTCAGGTTAAATGAAGCCAGTTGCTGTCAGAATGCACACAACAGGAGCAGGGGAGTGTAGAACTCACTGGTTAAGCTGTGTAGAACTTGGCCTGTCCACAGCCTGGGCTCCAGTCTTGTGGCAGCAACAGACAGCCCAGTGATTATGTAGGACAACAGATTCCTCCACACCTCCCGTACACTGGGAAACTCCCAGACTGACCTGCACCTGTCTTCACTGCTGGAGTTTTGTGTCTGTTTTAGCTTAGCAGTAGCAGAATAGAGCCAGATCACCTGGACTGGCTTTGTGTTTCCCAAAGGCATGAGCTTAGAGCTATCTCTTCTCCAGTCTGGGCCTCCTTCCCCAGCCTCTAAAATGTGGCTGGTGATACTTTTTACCTCACTGTGAATCCTTAGGTGAGACTGTGTATATGGAAGCACCTTATAAATCCTAATGGCTATGTGGATGGAAGACATTGTTTATACCTTGTGTACAAGTCAGATGATGAGTTCAGATGAGGAGTCAAAGATAACCATTAGTCACGGCATCGTCTTACTAAGTCTCCATACCAGTCCTGGCATGTGCACCTCTTCAGAAGCATTCAAAGTCTAAGAGAAGTCACTGTGAATCCTGTCCATTCCCAGGGAAGAGGCAAATTCAGATTTGAACCTGGAAGACCCAACTCTGGTTTTCACAGTGTGTTAACCTTGGGGGTCACTGGTGTATGTGTTTGCTTGGCCAAAAACTAGCAAGTCTGAGTGACCGGCTTGTCTTGGTTTGGCTTTTTGCCCTGAAAGTTCCATGGCCTAGACAAATGACGTGGTAGCCAGTTTACCTGGTGCCTCCCTTCCTGAGCCAAGGTCTGTCTTGAGGGCTGAGCTTGGGATGTATCTTAGATGGAGTTGGGAGAGGGAAGGAAGGAATGAGACAAATTAGGTGTTTAGTGGAGACTTTGCTCTCAACAGGCCCACATGTCTGGACAGAGACAGGGCCATCCAATAAAAGAGCATATATGTTACAGTGTGCTTTTGTGTGCATTCTCGTGTTTGTTTTTTAAATCAGACTCTCCAGAATAGGAGGGGGGCT